GCCGTGCCCTCTCCTGCACGTGCCGCAAGTGTGGAGAAGAGTCCGAACAGGTCACAGCGCTGCTTCCTTCCATGCTTTCCCCAGCCTTCGACTATTTTCAGCTCGGAGACTTCCTGTGCTTTAAGAGCCCTCGAGGAATTTTGCCTTTGCGAGTGCCCCTGTCGGCCCTGGAGCCCATGCAGCCCCTGCATCCCACAGATCCCGAGTCCCAACGCCTCCTACCGTGGCCCCTACTCCCTACAATTATCTAAATCCTTTACTTTTGCACAGAGCAGTCTGCCAAAACCGCCCCATTAAACCCCAAACCTTCATTTCTTACTAATCCAGAAGGCACTTAGGGCACCCTCACTTCTAAAGAAGATTTCTTCACAGTTCTTTCAAATAAGAGCAGCTTTTCCCTCAAAAAAAAAAAAAAAGGCGCTAGCATTTTGCTAGTGCTTGCAAAAAAACATGCAAGGAACACCTTTCGTTCACGAATCCTTTAGAGGAATTTTTCAAGTGTACTATTTCATAGGCCCGGGATGATTTACAAAGTGCAATGCAGTATGCATATTAGTGTGTGAGCAGCCACACTGGCTGTTATTCATATCTGCAAATCAAGGAATGAATGAACAGAGCAGATTTGGCGAGATGTTCTCCTTGCCTTTTGACCATGTTCACTTGCTATTTAATAATTCAAAGAAACCACAAGTTTGCAAATGTTGCTAGTGTCATGTATTAATATTCTCCTGCGCTGCTTTAACTGCCGAACCTCATGAGGAATAAAAATTCTTTCTACCCCAGTGAAAAGCAACTTAAAGCTCAAAAATCAAACTGGCTTTTTGGTTCTCCTGGTCTATTTTTAAGTAAGCAAAATGAGTCTAGAGGCCATTTATTCCCTTGGAGCAGGTAAGTCCTACTCAGGATTTTGTTTACAGCTCCCTGTTGGCAGCTACTTATGCTGTGATAGTTTGTAAAAAATCAAAGTAAATCTGTGAGAACGCTGTCTGAAATGTCTTCTCTGCTCAAGCAGAGGTCCTGAAGCACTTCAAAACCCGTATAAGCTGCCCAAAAGTACCCTGAAACCTTTCTAGATGAATTACTGTGTATACCTCTCCTCTCTAATGCTCCCAACTATGTTTAACTTACTTTCTGAAAATACTCGGATGTCAGCTTGGTATTTCCTTCAGGGCGTATAACTGCACGGGTAGAGCCAAGAAGTGAAGGAAACAAAAAAGCCTCCGGGGAACACGTGTGCAGAGCAGCCTCTACACCGGGGTCTGGGTCTCAGGATGCTTGAGCTAGCGTCCCACCTCGCTGCAAAATGTCACGAGACGTCTGCGTGGCACTCAGACCCTCCCCAGCACAGCTTCCTGCCATATCCTCCTGTTTTCCTTTAAATATGGTGTATAACACCCTGGGGCGGGATTCCTGGAGGGCGTCCTGCCACCTCCCATCCCTGCTCTGTCCTGAGCTTGGAACGGTGCAAACCACCCGCACTGGTTGAAGCTGGGCCAGGTCATGTCCTGGTGCACATGTGTAAACTGGGCCTGTGCTTCCTCTTTCATAGAAGGGAAAAGCCCCAGCCAGAGAAATGACTGCGATGCCACCAAGTTGCTGTGATGCCACCAAGTTGCTGTCTTTGCAGGCGCTACAGGAGCATGCAAAGCAGGAGCTGGCAGGGAAGGGACGTTTGCTCACACAGACAGCTCTGATATTTAGCCAAAATGACAAGGAATTGTATGAAAGACGAGACAAACAAACAGCTTGGGGCATGTCATGTGTGTTAAAGTTGTCTGCAATAGGAGAATGGTAATTTAGGATATACCACTCTGAAATAATTTCTACTAAGTATAGGAGTCCGCCAGCTGCCAGTTTCTCCCCATGCAGAGTTGTGAACCTTAGAAAAGATATTTAAGGGAAAAAAAAACGCCCTTCAGGGGGATAACCATGGTGTGTTGGGCGGCAGAACCGCAGCCGCCGTGTTGCGACGGGGCCCGCCGATTCCAGCACGCCCCTTGCAACCACCGCGCGGCTGTGAGAGCGACGCAGCCCACGTGGGGCAGCAGAGGTGCTGTCTGCTGTGGGCAGCAAGGCACCAAACCCCCAAACTGTCACGAATGAGCAAACGTTGGGCTGCGTTTGCTATGAGTTACCGGCAAAACAGAACCTCGAGGAGATAAGAGAGCAGCTTTGGGGCTGCGCCTGATACCAGAGATGTGCTCTATTAAAAAGGCTTTTTATGGAGGAAAAATGGAGCCTCCCGAATCTCACAAATCCCATTGCCATGTGTCATGGCACCAAGGAAGAGGTTGCCCTTCCAAAGGGATGGGATCTGCAGCTGAGATGTCCAACTGGCCACCCAGTAGTGGTGAATCCCCAGCGTCCATCTCCAGGGGCTCCTGCTCCCTTGGACGGCGCTGGAGACTCGTGTTGGGTTAACGCTGCAGCCGGAGGGTCTCATTACCGTTCCGGGAATCATTAAGCACCTTGCTAGGATCTGCAGCCCGCAGTCTCTGCCGGGATGAGCAGCTGCTCCTGCATCCTCTGGAGGCCAGAGGCCAAGTTTGGGTAGGGCTGTAGCTGCATTTTGTATCCGCGCAGGGCTTTGTGCTAGGAAGGAGACCGGAGCAATGCCAGCCCCTGGCACAACATTTCCTTGGAGGGGTTTGGTCATTTCCCCGTGGCTAAGGAAGAGAGTCTGGCCAGAATCTAACATTGCTCCTGTCTTTAGTGTGCAAGGGACTGCCCAATAGCCAAAAGCCCTGCGGGCCACTCGGCCACAACGCAGCGACCCTCCCAGTGCTGGGGCGCCCAGGCAGCTCCTGCCCATGGAAAACACCTTTCTGGGCAGCTTTCATGAACCTGCACTACTTGCTATCTGCTATTTGCTATATTTAATTGAGAAAAAAACTAAACACAGATGCCAGCAGAGGCTTGGTACTGCTCGGCATGCTCAGCGCTCTCCAAAAGGCGACGAGCTTGGGGTTGGTTTTTCTTTTATGTGGCTAACCACTGCCACTGGCTTAGGTAGGTAATGTAACATTTTGCTTTAGGAAATAATTGCTATAACCCACTTTTCAGTAAAACCTGGCCCTAAACTAAATTATATTCTTGCTTACAATCAATTCACTATTATTCAACACCCTTGTGCCTTATCCAAAGGAAGATGCGTGCCTCAATATGTGCAAAACTATATGTTTAGCTATCAGCCCAGCTAATTAACAAACAGTAATTATTTTCCTAATCTTTTGTTTAAATACCATTAACTAGCTGCTCTTGAGAAAACCTGGGCTTCCAATTAGCGCGGCAGCTGTCTGCCGCGCGCCGAGCCGCGGTGACCGGCGCGGCGCTGATGGCGCTCGGTGCTGCTCCTAACTTCGGTGGACGCGCGCCAGCTTTTGTGCCAGCTGAGAATCGGGCCAGACACACATTTAGCTTGTTTACATGATCGCAGTATCGCAAAAAAAGTATTAAGATAACCGCTCAAATGATGGGGGGTATTTTTTTTTCTTTTAGACATCACACCCTGCCAGTAAATTGAGTCACAACTGTAATGACAAATCTGTGTTGACCTAGTTTCGTTTATCCCAGCTCTAAGGCAAGGAGACAGCAAGGCATTGCTGACTATAGTCAGTGATAACTATGAGTAAACATTAACCTTTTAATTCCACCACTGACTCTTACTGATGGCCCTTAAAAGACGGTATCTCTGGTCAGAAAGTGTCAAACTTCCTGATCGCACAAGTGTTGGTCTAAGCTCTGAGAGAGGAGCGGAGGGGAGGGAATGAATCAACTTCTTAGCTCAGCAAAGATTTGCTGACCAGTTCAAAAAGGTCTGATTCTAGAAGATCCTGTTCACGATCTTAGCAGACTGTCTCATACTAAAACCCGTTTTAATTTCTAAGCAAGCCGGAGTAATTTGCTTAGTTTGCAAGAATGTGCTATTGCGGAAGGCGACAGAGAACTCTGAGAAATACCCGGTTTTACAAATGTCCCATGGAACCTGTGCAAATCTCCTGGACCGTATATGAAGCTTTAAAAACAGAGCTTTCACATGTTCTGAATAGCAAATACCTCTTTGTACACCCAGCGGTGGTTGCATATAGCATTCAAATAATAAGCTTGAAAAGCACACAAAGGGATTTGCTCTTTCGATTAGATTGATTTTTGTTTGTGGATGTTATTTGGACTCCCTTCACTGTGGAACAAGTCCCCTACAGTTGCCATTAACGCATTGAAAGCTTCCCTTTTGTTTTGAAATGTCAGTTTGAGCATAGCTTCATTAAATCATTTCACAATTAACTCCCTGAACATCCAGACTTTTTTCAAGCACCAAACCCAGCTGAATCACATTTGTTTCCCAGCAGAGTGAGTCCAAAGTGGTATCCCCAAGTGTGTATGCAGGAATTTGTATATTTGACTTGTGGCTGCACAAAATACATATGGGAGCCGTGTGGGTGGTGGAGAGAGGATTAAAGCTTTCTCCCTGGGCTTAAGAAATACCATAGCTTCTTGCCCAAAATGCAGGGCTCAGGAACCAAGTCATAGGGAACGACGTCTGGGTTAATCTAAGAAGACTTATTCCCCAAAGAACTATAAAAGAAGTGAACTCAAAGAGTTGTTAGTTTAGCCCAATATGTATAAGAAGCTGTATTTGCTGTGAGGGCCTCTGTCTGGGTGCATGCAGTACCCTCTAAAGCCCTTCTTGAGACACAAAATCGCCCCTGAGTGACAGTGCAAAGGATTTCCAAGTCCCAGGCCTGTGTCTTAACGTTGCTGCTGGCCATGTTTTCTCTCAGATGTGATTAGGTGAAAAGCCAACAAAACAGGAAAGAAAAATGAATCTTTAAGCTACCACTCCTGCCTGGTTCATACGACAAGCTCAGGATCTTGTAAAACAGAGCAGAGAGCCCACAGCTCCCCTGTCCCTCGGAGCTCGTCCGCATGCGGACGCGCTCTTGGCCATGGCCAGAAGGTGCATGGCGGCCCCGGCGCGCCGCGCGCGGCTCCGTACTTACTCGGAGAAGTGGGAGAGGTGGCCCCTCCTTCCGTTGACGTAGTCGGAGGTTTTGTGTCTGGCACTGGCAGAGGCACAGGCCTAGCCATTGGCGGCGGAGGTGGTGGTGGCAACATTGGGGTAGGAAGGAATGGATTGTGCACCTTGCCTTGGCTGCTACCATTGGGCTGCCAAAACAACAAGCAAACAGGCGAGAATTATACTAAAAATCAGCTGTTAGGAACCTTTCATAACAACAGTCCAGCTTAAAACTATATGCATTACATTTGAAATTGCTTAAGGAGAGAGGTGGCAAAGGAAGTGATGTGGCCAATTTTCCACTGACTTCAAGGCATTTGGCCTCAAAGCCTGTGAACCTTCTGCAACTGTGGAAATTCCCACCTTTGGCACATTTCTCCTATTAGCAACTGATCAAAATTATTCTGGATTAAATTCTGCTCTCATTTACATTTCCTGCAGCTACTAAGTCTTGCTCAGTGAGAGTTTCGGCAGTGATCTGGAGCTTCCGAGTTTCATGTCTCTATAATATCCTGAGGATATCAGTGCCTGGGACTCGAGTGTAAATTTCTTAAAGATACTGCTCATTAGGAGGAAAAATAAGCATTTTTGGAGGTCTTAAAAGTCACACTGATATCTTATTACAGGAAAAATGAATGAGTGTATATTAAAGTAACTGCACTCCCACATCCCTTTTAAGTCAGCGATAGAACAGCTCACAGTTTAGCTGAGCTTTGAACTGCTTAATTTATGTATTAGAATAAAAAAAACCTCTCTGTATTTAGTTTGGGATGTGCACAGTCGCAGGCAGAACAGGCCTAGCTACACAACTGTGGTCTTTCCAGTGATCACCAGCTAAACCTGTCCATCTGTTTTCAAGTATCCCAGAAGCAAGAAGGCGGCTTCAAAAAAAACAAAAACCAATCAAACAAAAAGGAACAAACAAAAAAGCAAACAAAAAAATACAAAAATCACCCCAAACTTGGCAAGTTTAAATTTGGAGATTGCCTGGACACTTGAAAATCCTGCAGGTAGATGCTCAGTACCACTGTAAGTTGAAAGTAGGACAGTGTGTGAATCGGGTGCTCTGTTCTAGTGACAGAAACAACGAGATTGCTTTCGACAGCACTCCACAAATTGATCTCGCTGCAGTTCTGGCACTGAACATTTGCTTTCCCATTGATGATAAAAGCTCATTTTTAAATACAGATCCATATACTAAGAACTGTTGAAGAAAATAATATTTTAATTCTTGCTAGGGTTTCCATTAGCCTGAGTTACTGGGGACAAAACACTCGTTTTGGCAAACACTTGTGATCTTATTTTCATTCCACCTGCTTTGGCACTGACAAAGGCCTTGGAGTGGGGTAGGGTGCAAATCACACTTGCCATAGAGCAAAAATGGTTTGGGGCATAAATAAGACTCAAATTCATCTGCATTTAACTTAACAGCACTCCCACTGACTTCAAAGACTGCAGTCTGCCGTAAGGAGCAATCCTTCAGGGTTATTTATTTTTCCAACATCCAGTACCTTTAATAAACTAATATATTAGTGACATCCCTCAAACACTATCTTGTCTCACAATTAGGTCACTTGCCTGCCAAGAAGACCCCTGCTGCATGTTCATTGTGAGCGTGCTAACAGTTCATAATGCTGAATGGTTTGGGATAAATTAAGCAAATGAATACTCAAGGAAAAAGAAAAGCACTGTATTGATTTGTTGTCTAGACATAAATGTATCTGCTAACATATTGCGGACATTATTCAAAGGCAGTGCTGGCTGGAGTAGGTAGAACTCAGTTTTTTTTTGCTAGGCAAAGGAAAGCACTGAGGACAATATAGCTTATTAAATAAGTGTAATAAATTAGATGCTAATAATTAAACTAATTCTCATTAACACTCTCAATTGTATGCATGTCAGGAGAGAAACAGTAATTTTGCCAGTTATGACTTCATTGGCTGGAAAAAGTTACATGCATTACATTTCATGAAATATTCAGAGCATATTTTGGATATGATTTACATAAAATTTATAAATTCTGCATTTGACCGGAATGCTATTTCAATAATAGCGAGATGATTCACTTTATTTGATTAAAAAAATGAAAATGGCTTGTTGAAGCTTTGGAACTCTGCTTAATTTTTCATGGAGATAAGGGGAAAAGATAACTGCTTACAGAAATAACAAACCATAATAAACTGTACTTTTAACATCTTGAGTTCAAGTACTGGTCAACTTGATCTAAAGTGCTATAAGGCAGTATTTTTTTTTTTAATGAACTTAGCTGATCTGAAACATCTGTTTCTCACCCTCCCTTTTCCTGCTCTCCTCCCCCCTCCACCCCACTCCCCCCCGAACTTCAAAAATAATTAATAAAAATTATTCTGCCTTCATATTTGGTTAACCCTCGTTCTGCTAGGGTTAGGACGCACGCAGCAAAGGCGCTTGCGGAAGGACCCCGAAGGTCACCGCCTCACCCACTGCTCTGGCAGTTTAAGCTAATTTCACCACAATGTGGTTAAGTGCTTCGGGGGCAGCTTTTTATTGATTTTTATATATATACTTTTTTGCAATAGCAGCATTTTCTTTTTTCTTGCAACGTCTATTCGAGGTGAGTTCCTGTGTGCAACATGCTGTTAAAATAACCCCATCAGCCCGTGGTTAATTTTACATAGGACAAACACTTCTGAAGAAAGAAAAACGGCTTCCTTACATTTAGGAACCCCACCTGTCCAGCCTGCTGACCAGCGTCGGGGCAGACAAGTTGGACAAACTCTTTCAGAGTCTCCTGAGGATGATAGCGGATTGCTGGGTGTGAGAAGTATGGCCCAGGCTGTTGAATAATGGGTGATGTTGGAAAATGAAGAGTCGATGGTGTTGCATGTGGACTTGCTAAAGGAAAGAAAACAAAGACGTTATATACAGTGGTGTTTTGCCTTCGGAAAATAAAACAGTTTTAAATCTACTGTAGTTTTAGTCTTTTTAAATGTACGGTATCGTTTATACATCTGATGATTGTCACAACTGATATATTAGACCACATTGTCCTACGCTGACTTCATCTAGGTCCTGAAAATAAATGGAGCCAGACATTTTAACGGATTTTCTGCATTTTTAGTGGACATATGTAAAGGAACCCACAGTTCTTGGTTAAAGTGACAGCTATTCATCACCTTAAGAGCAATCCTAAAGAATCCGGCAATAAAAAAATGTATTTGGGAGATTAGGGTTAAGTTCCTTGACATTTCATTTAACTTGGATTTGCACATATGAATCCGTTTTTATATTGCACTATAAATGGCTGATAATTTAAAGATGCTCAAGCACTTCTTGTTGTTGGGGTTTTTTCACCTCAGTTTAGGAACATTTATTTTAAGCAACGCATTTCGGGCTAATGAGCATGCACAACGTGGCAAGATTGTCTGGAAAAACTGCATTTACATTTCTCCAGCATAACGTTGGGTGCAACTCCTCAACAAGCCTCCAGCTTGCACTCGGGGATGATGTTTGGTTTGGGGAATTCGTAGGCTAAGGAGCCCACAGTGAAAAGCGAGCAGGAGGATGTGCAGTGAAGGTGTAATGTACCCAAGCCCGCTGGCGATGACAGATTTCACCCTCAGTTGACTTCAGCAGAACTGTGCAAGTGCAGCTGAAGACACAACAGCGCTGTCCTATGTTACTGGACACCTTCGGCCCGTTCCCCGGCATTCTAGTCATATTGGGTTGGACCTTTGCTGGCCAACAGTTGTTTCCACTGTTAGTTGTCACCACGAGGTAGCAACGGCCACCATTTGTAGTGCCATGAATTCTCCTTTTCCTCTTTAAAACTCATCTTTCTCAAGAGGGGCCAGGTGATCTAGTTGATCATGATCTCACCTTCATGCTATAGATCTTCTCTCACCAAAAAGGGATTATTATATCCCCCCCACTGGTGCTTTGCATGCTACTCTAATGAGCTTTTAGGGGAGCCTGTGTGCACACACTACATTTGTACTCTAAACATACCTGAGCACAGTTATGTTTAGAGCACAGAGCCTAATTATAGGCAGCTGTTGTGCTACAGAAAGCCATGGCTTGGCTCTGGAGTAAGCTAAAATACATGAGTGAAAAATCAAGCTGCAGGTGCTTTTGGAAAACTTGGAGAGATGCAGAAAATAAGAATGAACACTCAAGGAATTAACGGGGAATGTTATCAAAAAGCCTCAGTTAAACAAAAACTAAAATCTGTGTCTTAGCCTTGCTCACTGACAGTTTAATAATATTACACTTTATAAATTATTTTTTTTCGGTAGGAAGCATTATTAAACCATTAACAAACCCAGAGCCTGATGATGTGAATAAAAAAATGTAGCACAGGGAGAGCACCAAGCAAAGCTACAGCATTAACCTGTGAACCCTCATGAGGGTTTGACTGGACAGCACTTATATGTATTCTGTAATTCTGCTTCCATGACTCCATATGAATGGTTGCTTTGACACCGCCACCACCACCAAGAGCTCCCTCCCGCCTGGGATGCTCTGGAGAACTGGGAGCTGCCTCGTGGAAAGCACTGTGACCAAGAGCTATCACCAAACTGCTCATCATGCCACACAGGGCACCGTTTCCAGGTGACAACTAAGCACCGTAGCAATTCTTAGTCACTGCTGATATGGGATGAACATGAAGCTCTCGCCCTTGCCATGAAAAACCCCAGCGTACCAGCACCAGCCCCGTGAGTGCTCCTGGTCTGCTCTTAATGCTGTTTAAAATACTCATATCAGAAAGAGCAATGCATACTATGAGTGTGATGTGGACTGCAGCTCATGCAACAGGGTAACGTTTCCAAAAGAAAGCAGAGGGATGAAGAAGCAAAAAGGTGCGTGCAGCCTTCAGCTACGTATGGTCCAAGCAGATGGTGCATCCAGTGATACCCTTCAGATAGCATGAGCTATACCACGCTGCAAGAGCGAGATAGTGCTCTGCTGATACAGAGCCTAAACCCTCAAAATGGATGAAACGAAGACTGTTTTCCTGTCCCTGGCCTCCTGAGAGCGGCTGTATCTCCAAAGTGTGCTATTAAAGGCAGAAATAATGTGGGATTCATCTTAGTAAATGGGGTGCCTATCACAAGGCTAATCTAAGATAGTTATCTGGTAATCAATGGAGAGCTACTAAATAGATGGAGTCTAAGGAGCCATTTATCTCACGCAAAAATAGACCACTGCATTTGGGGAGATGAATCACTCCTTCGACTTCATCGACAATATTGACCGGCTCACCAACGCGAGGGAAGGGACCCCATGGTTGCCAGCCCAGGTGGAGGCACCTCCAGTGCAAATGAGCACCTGCCTTTCCTGAGACGATTTCCACCGACGTGTCAGCCTCTGCGCTCGCTCATTCCACCTCTGTATCCGTGGAGCTTCATTAACGCCACTTATGTCATAACTAATTTACATGTATGAATGTCTCACTACCTTCTCCCTGAATTAACAGCAAGCTTAGAGCTTGTCAAAATATTTTGCCAAGAATGTTTATTCAATAAAAACTGGTGGTACGAATTTCGATGACTGTGAAAAATATTTCATTGGGATGCAGCGTTTCTACTCTTTTGTTGATACCAAATGCAGTTTTCCTATTTTTCCTCTTCCACTCCTTTATGTCTACTTTTCTATTTCCCCCCTTTGCTTGTATGCCAAATGGAAGATGAAGGCTGACAATAAAAGTGAAAAAGTTTCCATGGAAAACAACAAATTAAGTAAAAATTATATTGGGATTTTTAAAAAACATTTATTATGAAAATTTCATTTTAGCACTAAATCTGTTAACACTATTCAAAACTATTATGTCCGTGCACTGTCCTATACACACATCTGGGAACAAATTAATTCCCTTTCTTCCTCCGAGTGGAAAAAGAGACAGAAACATAGCAAGGAATGAACAACTGCAGCCAGAGAACATGTGGAAATTCAAAACCAGGCCGGAGACCTCACCGCATGAAGCCCTTCCAAGGTACGTGTCTACATAGGAGCTGGACTGCTCTATCAAGATGTGTTATGACTATCAGCGGTATTTATAGGCTTGCAGGCGTGGGGTCATTCCCTGTTGCCTTTGACCTCCTCAGCATGTCAGAAGAGCAAACAAATTGGAAAACATTTGTCAGGGATCTTCCCGAGGAGAGGGTTTTGTGCGAGACAGAAGAGAAAAATGGACACAGAAACGATACAGAACAACTCCAGAGGAAGGAGGAAAGAGGGGCTCCTGCTGGCTCCTCAGCTCCAAGGGCTCCTGCCCATCATGAGGAGAACTGGAGGAGGGAAACCAGACTGTTGTCAGGCCTTGGCCTGTGCCATACACTGCCACGAAGCATTTCGTTTTCTCAAGGAAGATGGAATAGTTTAAGAAGAAAGAAGAAAGATGGAATAGTTTAAGAAGAAAGAAATGGTATAGAGCTCTCCAAAAGATTTGGTTTCGCAGCCTCTCACTGGGAAATATCAAACTTCTCTCATGGCAATAGGAAGGACTGTTGAACAAAAAGACTCTATTACTATTAAACTGAGGCCTGTTACAAGCATGCCTGCCATTTACTGAACTAAGTGCTAAAGCCTAGGATCCAAAAAGACCATTAGCTTGACAGCTACCTTGTTGCCACCAACTCCAGTGATGTACAACCAGCCTTCCTGGTGATGGATGTGCCCAGAACCCTCACTTGGCAACCAAGTTTTAGGTGTGCAGCACAACCGAGTTCCCAAACGTAGGACTCCTCACCAACATTTTTAATCAATTAAAGGATGTGAGCTGGCGTAGACTTCCCATTCCGGTTGCTATTTCCCCCCACTTTTCCTGAAATATTCCATAAAAATTCACATTTCCCTCTCATTTCCTGTTATTCGAACCGTATCACCTCGCTCTTCGTAAGGCAACTCCATAGAATTCTTTTCAGTCTCCCTTCATTTTCCCTGAAGCACAAAGTTACCCAGCTATTCAGCTTTTTGATGGGACTTTAGTGGCCTCTTTTCTATAAGCCATCATATAGATTCACCCATGTTGGTCAGGGACTCCTCGCATTATAAATATGGCTTTTGGCATCAACTTTTTAGATCTATTCCTAATTCTGTGGGAGAATCCCAAGAAATGCAAGCAGTAAAGCAATGCCAAGATTAAAACCTGATCTGCTTCCACATGTGGCAATATTTTTGACTAACATTACAAAACCCCTGCCACAGCATGAACCATTGCAGCCTCATCTTTTACATGAAACTATTAATTGGTGATAATTGAGTGGTAGCAATTAAAATTCCAAATTCTTCTGCTTACTTTAATAATGATACTTTGCAGGTCAGAAACTTGAAGCTTATTAACATGATCCACAAAAAGCTAATGACTGAATGTAAAATCTTCATTTCCAGGGAACTTTTTGTCTTTCTAACCTTTCTGAAAACTCTCTACCCAAACAAACTGGATAGATCCCACTTCTTAAGAGCAGCCTCACCTCTGTGTTACAATAAAAGCATGCTTGCCTCTAAAAGCAACCAGTGACTATTGGCAAACCACTTCAACCATAATACTCAATAAAAATGATAAAAATGATAAAGTCATTGCTTCTGAAAACTCTGCTTGGAGTGATGCAAGTCTTCCTACCTATAAGAAGTGGCAACCACTACCTATATGCTTCTGCTGGCATATTACACGCCTCAATCAGCGCCTGTAAATTCTTTGAGATCTTCAAATGGAAGATAAAAAAGAGATCTTTGTCTATTATTTATTTGCATATTGACTGATTATTTATGTGCCCCTAAGCAGCTCTGTGCTGCCAAGCCATTTTTCTCCCGGCGTCTTTCAGCCTGTGACATTTATACATTATTACTGACCTCACTAAATGATATAAATTTTAAGTTCTACCACCTATGAAAAA